ATATCCCATTGGTTGTCAGTACAAATGATGCTGACATTAAATCTGTTTGTGTGTCATTTGTAAATACTACTTTTAATCAAGCATGGTATCACATAGTACTTTTCTAATCTCAGAAATAACTTTTGATTTTATTTTCTGATGCTGTTTATTTAAACATTAAGTGTCTAAGTCTGTTACAAGCTGAACATTGCCTTTCTTCAAAGTGAACTGAGGGCTCTCAGTCCCTCACAAAGGATCCGTGTAGCTTTTATGATCAAATCCTAAGTACATAATAAATATGCAAAAAAGCAAAGCTTCTTCCATGGTTAATCAATGAACTTTAAATAATATTTATAATAATTTTCTCTTTTAATACTGATAGGGGTGTCTTAATGATTTGAAGGAATAAATAGCCTGGAGAACATCTTTGCTATAAATAGAATGTTTATCTGATGTACACAAACAATGAGCACTATTTTACATGAAATAATAAACTATTACAAAACTATAACGAAAATATATATTACTACTCAACTTCTGCATCATTTCATGCACAGAAAGCACCAAATATCTTCTAAAGAAAGCAGCACTTTTGATATTAAGAATTCAAAATGCAATCTGAATCCTTACTTAATTCATTAAGAGTATCTTTTAGTGCCACATGCTACCTAATTATCAGCTTTAAAAGATGGTTTACATCTTAAAATACAATATTCTGTTTATGCTAGATTATCTGGGGAACATCTAGTACATTAAAAGGTTTTTGTAGAGCTTCTTAGTGATTTAACTGATATCATCATGCCTGCTAGCAATTCTGCAACATTCTGAAAACACTTTCCATAAATCAAAGCCTTAGCAGCAGGAATAAGCAGATGGCAGGAGACCATATTAAAGAATGTATCAATTATTTTTATTAATGGGAGGCTACTGGATCATGATGTATCATAATGGACTAAATGTTTAGCAGTTGTGAAGTGTTTTGTCTGTTAGGCATCTCAGATGTTCTTAGCGGATGTTATTATATTGTCTTGTGATGGCACTCTTTGAGGGACTGGATAGTGAAGTTTCACAAGGGACATATAAAGATATTTTAATTTCAGTCCTTTAATTGTATTCATATAATAAGCATAAAATACCAGCATGTATAAAATGTAGTTTTAAAAAGATTGCATGTACAGTGAGTAATAAAGTACATTCTGTCTGCATACATTGACTTAGAAAACAAGATACTGTATGGTTAACAATGACAAATAGCAATTATAAAAATATTCTACAGTCTCATAATAGTAATGTAAATGCCTTTACTTATCTAAGAGACTTAACATAATTTTAAATTACAATAATTTTACATCCTCCATTCATATATACAGCCCTATTAAAGTCAAAAGGTATTATAATAACAGTGTTCTTATTAAGATTAAATGACTGAATTATATTTAGTTATTTTACTACATAAAGCAACTGTGTTCCTGTTTGTTAAAATTGTTTGCACTTACTATAGCTTTTCACACTATTCATGCTATGTGCAACAAAATAATTTAGGTTTCTGTTCTTAGTAGAGTATCTATATCCATTTCATGAATTAAACAGGATGTTAATATTTCAACTCCCTTTCCTTTTGTGTAACTATCAGTTCGCTGATTTTGTGTGTTCTGTAGGAATATGTCCACCAGCTTTGAACAGCTGCTACTGAAAACAAGCAAGAACTCCTAATTTAATACATCTTAACAAAAATAGCCAGTTCCCCTCACTCCCTGCCCTGCTTGATGTGAAACTCTATAAATCTTTACATTCTTTTCTAGGCCCAGAGCCACAGACATATTATGCATCTCTTTCATGGGATTTCATTAAACATATCTCTGTAGGAAATAGACAGAAAATGTATTTTGGTTGCACCATGTCTTAGTCCAATACTCGCATGGTCAGCAGAGAAATTCTGCCTGAGGAAGAATGTCAGGATTTGTCCTTGTGGTCACAAGATCCCTTTCCTCTGTAGAAGTTAATAGGACCATGCTTTGCTCTGCTCTGCTCTAACCGTTCCCTCAGCTTCACAGCAGCCTCACCAAAACTGGGGTGGAAGAGGGAGTGTTTACTCCAGAAAACCTGGGATGCGGTTATGTCCTCTCCTAAATACCTTCAGTAGCACCTATTAATCCCCAGAATATCCTCAATTCCTGTCTCTTGGCACCCTGTACTACTGTTTAATTTCAAGGGTGATGCTGTAATACAGGTTATAGTTATTAGCTAAAAAAATAATTATGAAGACTTTCTAGTAGAAAAAATGTGATAGTAGTGAAACAACACTGACATAATATACATCTACATGTATGGATACATTTAGAGTTTTGGGCAAGGGAGTTGGGGATTCTGAGTGAGTGAAGACAGCTTGAATGTGTTTAATGATAGATGCAATATGGTGTATTGCAAAAGGAGCATTCGCTATCTTCTGTTAAGTTTCTCATGCAGGAAGAAGAAAAAAAAAAATCTGGTACTTCAGATCGAAGCAATTGTCAGAAGAATGAAAATCAACTTTAAGAAATTTAATGGATGCACTATAATGTTTTTTTAGAACAGTGCTTATAAAAGTGATGAAATTCAGGATGTTATTTAAAGTCAATATAGTTCAGAAATATGGTCTAACTCCTATGTAAAAGTTCAATGGGAAAATCATGTAATACATTCATATTTAATTTCTTTTTCTCCATTATGAGCAATCCACATTGGTGTATTTAAAACTAATGTAGTAGAAACTGCAGTACAAGGACAAATGGCATTTGATACCAACCAAGTATCTCTTCCTTTCATCACATGAAATGGACAATACACATCCTACTCCAGACATAACATGGGCATAAATGTTACTTTAAATTTATCATATTTTGTATTCAAATGCCAATATTATCTAGTCTTTAGCAAAACTGTGAAAAAGTGTTTCTCTTTTAATGAGTCTAATTTATAGAAGCACTCCAATTAAAATGACGATCAGTCCTATGTTCAATTACCTTTGGTTAGTACTCATTTGTCTTTCCATTCCTTTCCTCCATGCTATAAAAAAAAAAAAAAAGACCAGAACACTGTTGTTGTTATTATTTTTAACCATGCAGTGTAAGCATATCATATCCTCTTCTTAGGGTCAGGTGTGTTCTGGCCTGTCTGGGAACCCACGCATATGCAATTCTGCTCTGTTCAGCTTACTTCCAAGTATTTTGCACAGGCTGATAGAAATCCTTGAATTTCCTAAAAACATGACTATTCTTGTGAAATTGGGTACTCCATCATCTTTTATAGCCATCCAGATGTAATTTATTATCCCACTACCAACTCTCCAATTAAGAAAATATCATGACACTATATCTGAGTTGGTCAGGAATGGGATCAACAAACCCCACAAGGACTGTGAGAAGGACCCAGATACCAATGACAGAAGAGGCAATAGGAAGAAACAATTCCTCTGCTCTTGGATAATATATTTAAATACATTTAAAATTTTCATGCAAACAAAAATCCACTTTAATCTTTTTACTGTTTCCAATCCTATGACACTTGTGAGGAGTGAGGCAGGCTCAGTGACAGAAAAATTAATACACACTTTTGAAACATATTTTGAATTGTTAGAGAACTCCCTAATGTAATCTTTTGGCTTTGTCTGAGGAGGAGCTATGAAGAACCTGTGCCAGCTTATTTTCCCATGTATTAATATTACAATTAGAATGATTGCACTTAATGTCCTCCCAGAATACACATCATTCTCCAGAATCTCACTATGTATAGAAATGTCTTCTACCTGCCCTCTAACTGCCAAACCTTTACTGAGTCATCAAAACACATTTTCTGAATGCCTCCTCCTAGCAAGTTAGCTGTATTAGGCGAAGCAGTGCATCACATCAACACTTCTGAATGTCCCCTTCAGTTTGAAAAGTCTTCCTTTTCAACTTTCTGTAGTGAATCCGAAGCCAAATTTGAAATTAATTTATCTTTGTTTCAGGTGTATGCAATAGGAATCTTGTCATTTCACTCCATTTCCAAATGGATCAAAAGCATGTATGGATAGAATCCCTTTCAAAAAAGCTTACAGTGCTGTCAAAGGACACTGAGAGTGTTGTCCAGAAGCACACTGTTGTGCCTCTGAATTCTGATTTCTTCTACACAAAAAAGGACACAGTTTGAATATTCTTGGAATAAGCAGCTGACATAGCACTGTTACCAGTACTGCTTGTTTTAAATTGTGCTAATTGTAACACAGAGTATCTTTGTTGGGTCTTATACATCCATACAGTCTTTCTGCTGAAATGTCTTATCTTTTTCTGAGTTTGTCTGAGTCTCTGTCATTATGTTAGTTTCCATTTTTCTTCTGTATCATTAAAATATATATTAAAAGTCTGTTCTTTTTCTACAAATGAAATTGTTAAAAAATGGGATTTCATGAAAAGCTTAATGGATTTTCCCCTTTTAAAGAGAAGCCTACACAGTTTAAATTCCATGTTCACTTCACTTGTGCGAAAGCATTACCATCTGCTTTTTACAGATTTTAAATCCTGTCACATTTCTACAGTTCCCAGCTTAAATAGTTCCTTCTTTCACATTTTGTAGACTTTTTAGTTATAACCAAAAAAAAAAATAAAAAATTAACAAATGACTAAAACTCATGTTTATAGCAGAGAAAAGTCAGTGCAGATTGAAGAGTTTGAATACACTTTTGTAACACGGGTATTCCTTTTGCGGTAATCATTTTCATAGTGTTGTAAAAAGTCATGGAATGATAGTAAAAATGTTCCCAGTGAAGAAAGATACGTGCAAATGTCAGCTGTGAATGGAGGGTGTGAATTTGGGGCAAAGTGATATGAGTTTATGTCCATCTCATTTTCCTGTGAAGTAAGGACTTATTTAAACCCTTGCCATGTAATAACTTATCTTCACAGTGGCTCTCCTTATTCGTATTTAAAATAAGCACAAACACCATGCTTATGTTCATCTCAGTCTTTTAGCAGTTGATTTAGAGAAGTATTAAACCCTTTCCATTTTTATAAATCATCTCCATCATCTGTGCTAAAGCTGCTTCTCCTGCTGCTCTCTTTCGATGCGACCGGAGACGTGGAGGACAACAGTGGGTCTGTTCCAAATGGTGACACTGTGTCATTCAGTAGAATTTCCTCTAGCCGTTGCTCTTCTTTTAAAGCTGCACTGAAGGACAAATCTGTGAAGTGTGAAAGTGGATCTGAGAAGGCTGTAGATCCATTGCAAACATCAGAACTTGGTCCATGTGCCAGAGGCATTTGTTGAGAGTAGTCGACAGAGTTCTCCTCTGGATAAGACTGTTGCTTGATGACCTGTGCAGCTAAATCCACAACATTGACTGAAGACATGACTGGAAGGCCATGTGCGCGTGCCTGGATCTCTAGTTCCTGACATTTCAAACAAAAACAATTAGATAATGACTTTAAAAGACAAAACAGTGTCTTCAGAACTATTGCAATAAGTATACAGATTGTACATGCAAATTAATTATACCTTTTGTCCAGTTGTGAGACTACATTTTAAAATATTCAATTGTTAATCTATGAAAATATGCCACTCAAGTGGTTTTCTTTTTATTTACCCTCCTGTTAAGCAACTGTCCTGCAGGAACATAAGAGGTAGGACAGCGTCTCTAAAACCATTGCACACTGAACCCAGTAAAGGTGACAGAAAGACATTGCAACTTTCTAGTTTGTTACCCACTGTTATCCAGAGAAACAGAAGATACTTTAGTTGATGATGCTTATGTTATACAAATATATGTGTGAACCACCATATAGAAGATGATTGATTTTATATCTGTCTGTCTATCTATCTCATCTTTATATGTGGCTGTATTCAAATCTTGCATTTCAAGCCATGCAGAGCTATATTCTGTTGCTTCATGTCACAAAAAGGTATAACATGGCACACTGTGCCCAAGGAAGTGTAACATGTGGAATGGTTATAAAGGGAAAATTAAAATACTGAAAGAAATTTTGTTCTAGTATTGATTTTTGGATGTAGGGATATACTTTTTTGCTTCCTTTTTTGTCTTTCTCTGGCTCTAACACATACATAAGGAAACTGTTTGTACAAATACTTTATTAACTTTCCATGTATTCCTTTATATAAATTCTAATTATCAAAGAAATTTCCTAGAAATCTAAAAACCACCTCATCCTCAATATACAACAATAAATAGGGAAAGTCAATTAATTTCTAATAAATGCCATTTGGCAAAAATTATATAGATTAATAAAATTTGATGAGGGATAAATACTGAGGAAGCTTTGTAGTTCATGGTGACGCTCTTATACAAACCTGAATTCGGAGTAGAAGTCTTCTGTTAGCATGCTCTAATTTCTTCTGCCTGTGTTCTAATTCTCTGGCTCTCTGTTGTTCTTTTTGTAGCCACTTGATGTACTCCACTGATGCTTTTAAAATAGTTCCTTTGTTCCAGCGCATATCACTGCAGAATGTAGAGATAACCTTTTCACAATTGTGCATGTCAGCAGAATTCATAAGAACTTACAAAATCTTTTACATTAATATGAAATAATGATTTACATGACTATTATTCACTCTTAGATATTATTGCTTCTGAATGGAAATTTTAATAGAATAGTTAAGAAGCCCTTATATAGTAAAATTAATCCCAGAATGAAAATAAGTGTCAAAAGAAAGTAATAAAGTGACTTTTTGTGGGAGAGCTAAATGCAATATCATGATTCTACCATTACAGTTTTTATATTTTTAGTGAAAATTGCTTTTATTATTAACTCTAAGATTAAAATCTATGTGCAGTATTTCTGCATTAATGAACTAGGAAATATACATTACTGAGGACTTAAGCTTAAATTTTTAAAGATCATTTTGAATATACTACTCCTTTTACCTGACTTACTAATGAGGTTGCTTTTATGCTTGTTGAGAAAAAAATGGTCTGTGCTGAATGCCACTCCTCATTGATGATAGACCAGACAAATCGCACTTTCATAACCATAATGGCTATGGAATGATAAAAATCCCGTTCAAAAATCTTGAAACAATATAAACCAAGTTAAAATCCACAGATACATGCAGACCCCAACTCAAAATAAGCACTTTGCAAAAAAAAATAAGATTAAACCTGTCCATCATTCAGGAAATAATGGTTTGAGTTTACAATCAGTCTTACTAACAATAATACACTTCAAATGCGTCTGTTCAAGAACTGTCATGTATCCATTTACCAGCTTTCCATGTATTACTTTATGTAGGGCCTCAGAGGTCTTGGAACAAGAATGAAATTTGGTGAAAACGTTTAATTTCTAATAAAGTTCAGTATTTTATGATACAGGATTACCTGCTGCATTAAATATACATACAAAAGTATTTATCCAGACTATCCACTTCACTGCAAGATGACTTATGCCAAAAAGAAGATTAGCAGAGGTTCTGGTCCTATAAAACAATGCTGAGAAGGAAAAAGCTATTTAAACCAGTAAGAATTTGAGGTTCAGAGTGGCCTGAATAACCATCTTAGTGCATTTTCTTTAGTACCTATACTAAATACATATAAGCTGGCATTTATAGAGCCAAAAAGAAATATAAATTATATTCCTGTTAATCATCACTTTCCATTTTTCCTTGGTTGCTTTAGATAATGAGACTTGTTCTTACTCCCATGCTCACCTATGGTGAATAAAACTGTGATCTGAAGCAGATTTATTGCAGAAGTGTCTATGCTTTACACAGTACCTAAGGAAACTTGCACCCTTACCCCAAGGCTAAGCACCCTTAGAAACTTCCACCAAGGTAGTAGTCTTTCTACTGAATGTATAGGACAAAAGTCAGGGAGGTACAGGATTTAGGGACCCAAACTACCTGGCCTTTCCTAATGCACTGTACTCAGAAAAAAAAACTTATGGAGCTGAGAGCTTTAAAGATGCTCAGAAGAATATGCAAAATTACTTGTGACAAAGCATCACAGTGTTTAACCATATCCTAGAGTTTAAGTCATTTGCTAGAGATTTGGGAGAACCATCTTTTTGATCAGAGAGGGCTCAAATTCACATCTCTGTCCTCTCTGGGCAGCACAAAACCGTGGGGCTCCAGCATACTGGGACCTCCCCTCATCCCAGTGGTGCAGGCCAGGAATGAACAGCTTTTAGGATTAGAAGGTGAAGAGGTTGGAGAGAAAATAATTGTTGTCTCAGACTATGCTGTCTGCAAAGCCAAAACATCAGAGGCTGCTCATTGAAGTGGGTATGTATTCTCATTTAGACATTCCCTAATCAAAAAAATAAAGCAGAGGTGGGAATGGGAGCCAAGAGCAGAACCTGTCTCCCTCATGATAGCTGAATCACTTCTTGGCAGTCCCTCTGCCTCCTCCTTCCTCTCCCTGTACTTCTTGCCCAGGTGGGAGGACAGAGCATTTTCCTGCCAGCATCCCATGGACTCCCTCCCAGGAGAGAACTTTCTCCCTGCATGTGGTATACTTATGTTCAAACTGTAAATCTTAAGGAAGTTTTTAGTACACATGATGCTTATTTTCTGGACAAATCCTTGGCTGACATCAATACATTATAATCTTGTTTTCTTCAGACACTTTTGGAAAGTTAGGTAAAATACTGAGAGGTCCCTAATTTACCCCTGAACTGCAGTGGAGTTTGAAAGGCAATGAGGTGCCTGTCTATCTACACCAGAGCACTCCTATACTAAATAGGAGCAGTTAATGTTAGGAGGACAACATTTCAAACTGGGAATCGTCACTGTCATTCATCTCAGATATGAACTATATATAGCTCAGAATAACAGTAGGCTTGTGTTTAATTTCAAGTGAAAAAGACTGATTTAGGAAATTTTCATGGCAAGTTTGAAAAGCGCTACAGTAATAAGAATGCCTATAGTATAATCTCTGGAGAAACACAATCTGCCTAAGTAAGGGAGGTCAGCACCTCCTAGCATATAATTAAGACAAAACTAAGGAAGTTTTGGACTGGTGGTCTGAACATAAAAATGTAGCAACATGAAAATAGAAATTAATCCATAGCTGGATTAATAATTCAGATGTGTAACAACAGGAGAAAAATATGCGTATATCACATGTTTGGCAAATATTTCACAGTGATTTCACAAACAATTTTCAGTCAGTTATAAGATGTTATGAATTCAAAATCAAATTCAGATGAAAATATTTTTTTTTGTTAGTTTTTCTGACTGACATATGAATAAACCATATATTCATGGCTTAATTTGGAATCTTTTTGTGATTATATTCATTTATGTCACACATAATTGACAGCCTTTGTGATATTGCTTACTTTTAGTTCAAGTTGCCTTGATAATCTGAATTTTTACATATATGGTAATAATAATTTTTCCCATAGGTTGAAATAAATCTCCACTGGAAGGCTAATTTCTAGTTTTAAACTGCCAGAGATGAAGCTGGTCAGCTTCTGCATGAGATACATATGGATAGATATCTCTTCTGGTAATATTTACAAATTTGAAGGCAAAACTATCATGGAGTTCTAGAATGAAAATTCTGTGGTTACTATTATCATTTAAGACACTATTATTCTATGTGTGTGTCTGTGTCTGTGTAGCCATGTATCCCATATATTTTCTATATCTCTACTGATATATACATATACTGGTTGATGTCTTATTAAATAAGGAATTTTGAAATTAAATCTTCCAGTGTCTGAAAGCAACACAGCAAAGGATCAGCTGGTGACCTTAGAAGTCAACGTGTCTTTCACTCCGTGTCTCTCCATACCAGGACCAAAAGAAAGTACTGAAGATGTCTGTGCTGGTTCTGCACTGCAAACACTCTCCATCAATTCTAGGCCAGAGCACTACGCAGAATTCACAGGACAGTGCTATAGGGAAACAAAGCGTCTATGCTGATGTCTAGGGTTGGAAGAGTAGCAATATATCTAGTGAGGATGAAGGCAAATGGGGGGAATAATATGGGGGAGGTGCCTCCATAGCCATAGTATGCAATGTGTCTAGCTCTGCTCAGCAGGCAGGCAAGCAGTTTCATCTATGATGACAATAAAAAAAAGCCTCAGCATTTGAAGGTAGATTAAATCTAAGCACAATTGCATGTAGGTCAAGAAGTCTCTGGAGGCTACCAGAATTCTTCTTTTCATTTTATTCTTTCACTGCTTATTAATTCCTTTTTTTTTTTTCACTTATTCTTAATTTTTATTTATGTATGTAAGGCTTCATCTTTCAAATGCTGAAACATGAGAAACTCTACATGTGCACAAGTCAGTGGAGAGCAGTGGAGAGAAGTTTTGCTGGTCTGGTCATCATCAAGGACCTCTGCAAAGAAGGACTGTGTCTTTGTGTGTGCATGTGGTACAGTAAAGTTTTTAGCAAGCTATGCATGTGTTATCTAGTTTAACCAACAGAGGTCCACCATACTTAACATGATTTGCATGGAAAAATAGCAAATAAGTAAAAACCCATGTGTTTTATTGGTCTCTGAACCCTAGCTCCTTCTAACTTTACCAGCTGAATCTCTCCGCAATTCTCCAATGTCCAGATCAAAACATGTAACTCTCACTTGGGAGAGTTTCCCATTTAGGAGAAAAGAAACATAACCAGAAGATTGATCTTCAGCTCATTTCCATTAGAGTAACTTTGTTGAAGTCAAGGGAGCTTCACTAGTCTACACAAGTTGAACTGCTGTAGGAAGGATGAGTGCATCAATTCATCTAAGATTAAAACTAGTTATTGAAAACAGAGTTTGAGAGAGGATGATAGTCACAGAGTTTGCCAGCCACAGAGCAGTTACTAATAATAAATACATTAGTGAAGTTGAAATTATGTTTGCAGACAATTTCTTTCTCTAGTTCTGAAAAATTAGCTGTAAACCATGCTTGCTCAAATAAATACTTTGAAAGACTTTGTGCTTGTTTTCATGACCTGCACAATTACAAAGTGTAGTCTTCTGAAAGAGACAAGTTTCCAGTTTATAATAGCATGAGTGTATGCAAACTCTTCCTTTATGTGGCTGTTCTGACCACTAGCAGGTCTGTCAACAGAGAGAAGGTCAGGCACAGGAAGACGCAGTGAGCAGACAGGACAGAGTGAGAGCAGCCCACTACTTCTGCCCAAATCCTCAGTGGTTTTCTTAACATCCCAGTTATGTAAAATTACTAGTTTTCTTAAAGGAAGGGTTTTTTCTTCTTAGTATTTCTGACAATTCTATTCTAGCTACCATAAAACAGTTCTTGCATAAGCATTTCCAGACTCTCACACCTAAAAACTAGATTCTGACAGGCTGAACACAAAGGAACCTTGAATGGAATGGTAGGTGTATTTAAAGAAGGAGGTTATGAGTTTTCAGCAAAATATGACTGGGTATTTTAGGCCTTTTTTTCATTCTATTTTTGAATTATTCTCTATAACTGTTTTGCATTTCTGAATCATCTCCTACTTGGATATCTAAGCATTGAAAATTAAACAAAAGAG